CTAGTCAGAAGGCAAAGCCCTTTGAACATAGCAATGATCGCAGCACGTATAGCAGCCAGGAGGCAGAACCAAAGAACCTAAGCTCACCCCCCCCCCCCCCCCCAATCTGCAAACTTAGTATTTAGTAAGCATCTTGCATGTAACAGCTTAGATCCATGAAAATACATATGCTCACCTGTTGGAGTCTCCAGGGTTCAGGAACCAGGAGCGTCCATCATGTGAGACACCCAGAGCCTTCCAGACTCCGAGGTTTGAGCCACCCATGTCGCTCACAGTGGCCACGACTTCAGCACCTGCAGCCTCGATGCCCTGGATGAGGCTGAGGAGCGTGGCGACAGTGACTGCAGAGTCAAACTGGAACAGCACTGGCACCTGCCACTTGGAGAAGATGCCCGCTACCAGGAACTGTTGCAGGCGCCGGTGCGGTCCCAGGACCTGATCCAGTTGCTGATCATAGCAGGCCACTTTCCGAATGTCCATTTCATCATACATCACGACGCACTGGCGTTCCTGTCGTGTCAGGTTTTGCACCATCTTGGCCAACAGCTCCAGCTGTGTGGCAGAGCTGTCCGGCTGCAGGACAAAGGTGGCCAGGTAGCGCTGCAGGGTTGACAGTGCTGGCAGCGGGTAGCCATTGCCGCGGAGCCACTCATACTGTCGGCGGGACAGGTTGACGCGGTGCCGCAGTGCCTCATGTAACGAGTCCTCTGTCCATGGACAAGGTCTCGTCCCAGTGATGAGATGTTCCCCCTGTGAAAAAATGACTGAATGTGATCTCCTGTAATTGACATTTTTATAAGCTTACAAAGATGGTTTGGTTGTCTAAGTGCCTAGGCTAGGTGCATGCTAAGCAGATAAAGGATTATAATTGGACGGTAAAAAACAACAATAACAATGACAATGTCATTAACCCGCGCCGGGCCGGTGCTCCACGACTTCCGCGTCGGGCCGGGGGGGGGTGTCTGAACACCCCCCCCCCCGTCTAACTCAGCTCCTGGGCCATGTAGCGACACGCGGTAAGCGGCATTCGATAGAGCGTAAAAAATATGACGGAAACACTAAGGTCATTTTTTGGGTCAGGTCAAAGGTGAGGTCGCCAGAGGTCATCAAAGGTCAAATGTAGGCAATTTCAACAATTTGCCAACGGCTAACTCGGGAACCAATGGAGCTACAGTGCCGCGGAAAAGCGCATTCGATAGCCCTTTTACAGACCCTTCTGAGTATTGTTCTCAGTTTTGACCTCAGGTCAAACAGTTTAGCCTACAGAGGGCAAAAACTGTAAAAATAGACGAAAACTGTTTTCGGCAATAACTTTTGACTCAAGAGTGCCACGACATGGTAGCATCGTGTTTCTCTCGTTGAGACGCGTCGAATGAGCCATTTGTTGACCTTGAAAGGTCATTTTGAAATTTGACCTCAGGTCAAGGTCATGACCTGACCGAAAAGGGTCATGTTGCATATCAGTCGATCCATATCGTCGAGCTGAATACATCTGACATGTTTTCATCGCTCTAGCGCGTCTTTATCAAAAGTTATAGCAAAAAAAAAACTGCTGGTGACCGTTCATGACCTGAGATGACCTCAGGGTCACACAGAGGGGTCACAGGTGCTTTTTTCGATTCAGTGTGTCATGTTTACCCATGAACCGATGTTTGAGGGTTTTGAACACCATTCGTCCAAAATAGGCGCATTTCAATTTTCTCCCATTGACTTATAATGGAGAGGTCACAAAATTGACCTGACCTTAGGTCACTGATATCAAAATTCCGAGATATACATTTTGTACATACTGTTACTCTTATCAATCGCTGAAAGTTTCAAGGCGATCGTTCGGTCGGTGTAGCTATGACGAGGATTGCAACTTTTTCTGAGGTGAGGTCACTAGACATGACCTGACCTATTTACAAAAAAAAAACCGCAGGGGGGGGGTGTTCAAACACCCCTCCCCCTGACCCGGCACAGGTTAAGGTTCATAGTTAATAGTTAATACTAAATGGTGTGTATTATTTCTAGCTCTCGTGCATGTCTGTGCAGAACAAACAGGAACCATGTATCTTGACTACCTAGGTACTAAGTTGCACAAAGTCCAAGGATTTAGACAATAGACACACCACTTAGCATTCTACTAAGCACTTATTTTCTCTGTTTCCAAAACTTAACAATCATGACAAACATTTTCTACATGCTACCTATAGGTAAGACTTCAGTTTTTTTTTTTTTTTTTATTTCAATTTTAGTCCGAACCTTTTGCTAGGAAGGATTCACAAGGACAGAGCCACCGCTAAGCGAAGCTTGTTGCGGTGACCCTGCCCTCTACCCTCCGATCGCGCAATTCCAGTTCTATGGCAGAATTTAGAGTCCAAAGTTTAACGTGCGCACATAGCCGCGCACGGCCGGTCCCCTCGCTGACTTCGTCTGGTTACGGCCTGCCACCAACCGCAACCATACCTGTCAGGTGGCCCATAAATGTCAAGCGCCCGTCGCGCTTCGAACCCGGACTGTTGTAACCGGGAACGCGTGCTCTCACCACGCGGAGTCCAACGCTCCACCAACTGAGCTACGGGACCAGTTATCTATTACTGCTATTTTACTCCACCTGTATACAGGCCACACTTGCCAGTGGGAGGTTATGATTGACATTGAGCAACAAGAGACAAGGTTTAGCAGTTATTTCTGTTACAGACATGACTCAAAACAAGGATATACAAGAGAAAAGCAAATAGACATGTTCCAAATGAGTAAAAATGAACTTCAAGCCAGCTCACCTGCTGTTCCGTGAACAGTCCAGTTTTGATGGCCGAACGAGAGGCCTCCTTGGCCAGGGTCAGGTCATGAAGCTTGTCTTGGATGGCAAGAAGCTGCTGCTGAAGTTCCTTCTTCTCATTTTGCAAGATGGTCTTCTCTGCCTCCAGGGCATCCTTCTCTGCCTGCAGCTTTGTGCAGCCATGACACTCGATGACTCTGAAACCAAACATTGCCAATGTAAATTACCTTCTATTGACTATCCTAGTCTCACGGATAAATGCATGAAATCAACAGCAGCCAATATGGATATATGCCGAACATTTTTCATTATTGCTAGTTGCTACTAACTATAATGATATTAGGTAACTTCCCTGATTTCAGACATAACTTTATCCCATATGGCCTCAAGTTCAAGTTCATGCAATACTATGGTCATCATTGGCATTGTGTCCTCTTTCTAGTTTCTGGTCCTCGCATTTTATTCTCTGGGTGGGTTAACACGGTCCAGCATTAAGCCTTTTGAGTTTTGGGACCCACACAAAGTTGAACCTTTTACCACCAGGACCAGAAAGAGTTAACCATTCCAACACTGACTCCAGAGCACAAAACATAGCTTGGCACTTTCATATTAAACCACTACACTACACTACACTACCACTACACTACGAGTTTAAAATACAACAAAGAAAAAGGCATAGGATTAAAAGAATAGGTAGGTACCTAGGTAGGTACCAAGTCAGGTTCCAATAGGATTTATAAGTACAATTTCTTGAGTAAAATGAGGACTTCAAATCATTACCTGGACTTAGTCAAGTCCCTGGTGCGTGCAGGAGGCTGGATCGAGGAACATGCCGGAATCATGATTGATGGAATGGCGCCTGGAAGAAGGTTTCTCTTGCGAGACTTGGACAGACATTCCGAGAAGTCGGATGGAGCGAAATGGGCTGAACATACACGAGGATCGGCATGATCTGCGAGCTCTGAATCAGCCCTCTTGATGGCGTGCCACCACTGGAGGGCCAGCTTGTGGTCCTTTGGGAAGGAGAAATACCTCGTGCCCTCGGGATTTAACTTGCGTGCAGCCGTACCATTGTGACAGGCTGGAACGGCACAGCCTGGCATCTCCGCAATGGAAATTGAAATACCGAAAACTTGAGATAAAACACTTACTGGAACGAAGCTGAAAATCTGATGAAAATATTTAATAACTAGCCAAATCACTCAAGTACCAGCCAAATACACGAACAGCAGCAGTGCTGCCAGATGGAGAAGGCTGTAATCCTTCATATCAGTTACAAAAATCCTCCAGATTCCTCCAAATCCTATTGGTAGATATAGAAAGGCGGTCTTGGACGCTGCGGGGGGCTATACCCCCAAAAAAGTTTCACCAAATTCTAAAAACTCATCGGATTTCGAATCTTTTCGCACTGCTGTGCAGTTTAAAAGATACTTTTTCTCATAAAAGTTGTTGAGTTTTCGTTTTATCTTAAAAAAAACGAAAATTTTCGTCTATTTCGGGCGCTGCAGGGGGGCCGGGGGCATTTGCCCAAAATGTCCCCCTTAGATCCGCCAGTAGTTTGGTACCCTCCGTAGATTCATATAGCTACAGACTGAGTGAGACATTCTGCAGTCTCACGGTGATAAAGGACGTGATATATCCTAACGGGTAGGGTGACGCTGGGCAGGAAAATGCGTTTTTAGTCTTGAATGTGTTATATTTTTCCTTGAAATTGAATATAATAATCGGGCGACAAATCCTCCAGATTTTCCTCCAGAATCAAAAATCCTCCAAAAGCGAAATTTGTCCGCAAATAGAGTTAAAAATCCTCCAGATTTGCGGAAATCCTCCAAATCTGGCAGCACTGAACAGCAGGCGAAATTTGACCGAAAATGTCCGTTGCTAGGCAAACAATTCGAAATTGACTCAGATGCGCAACTTCTGAATCCTGCCAGCTTGTCACCATATCGAATATACTACTGGAATTTGATACCAGAATCTTCGCTTCCAACTAGGGCCAAAGTTTTTATTTAAAATTATCGTATTATTCCAATCAAAAGAAAAAAGCGAGATATACGTTCTCTAAATTTAAAAAAATTGTAATGTAGATATTAATCCTTAATTACAATAATTTGTATAACTGGAGATCATGCATACTAAACTTGGACATACCCCCTAATTCAATATACCCTGGACCGGTTCAGCTTTTTCCGCGGCGACGCCGCGGACACCCGAAATTGTGGAACTTGAAACTCACCAACTATTGATGGAGCAGCCGAGAAATAGACTTCACTTGATAAAAAATCGTAGCGGCACTTCTTTCCCCATATTAAATGGTTTTTATACACTTCATTGGTTATTCCAATAATGGGTTACTATGTGCCTCTCCACAATTGTCTTTAGGTTTCTTGCATTTGTCGACAAACACCGTTGTTTACATTAATCACGAGCTTTATTTTTTTGCAACTTCCTCCAAAAATTATGTCAAATTAATAGATATTCAAAACTTTATTGTACAGAAATATAGCATAATCGCATTAAATAAGCAAATATTGTATTTGCTTAAATGTATTTAGTTTGCATTCGTTTATATTTATCATAAAATGTTTCACATAAAGTTCCTGAAAATACTAAGTAGAAAATCGCACCGCCGAATGGTCCTGTAAACTGCTGAAAACAAGCGGAAAGCCGCTGTAGGAATGTCGCCCGCGACATTCCGCTTTTGCGGAATCTCGCCCGCCGAATGGCCCAGTGTGCGGCCGCCTTAACCCGGTTTACATAGGGTTTGTTGCAAGCTTATCTCCGTCCGTGATGTTGCAAAAGATGCCAATGGTGCTTAAAGGAAAAGTGCCACCTTCGTGAAATATGAAGATATCGTTGCTTTTCATTTTGACATTATTATTTTTCATGTTCTTTTTAAATCTGGTGCCAGAAGTGCATAATTCGCAAAAAAGTATGTCAAACTATTTAACATATTGGTACTTTGTTTGTACTCTCTACCGCACCTTCTGTATGATGTCATAGCGATGACATCACACTCAAGCCAATCAGCCTTCAGAAGACAGACTCGTCGGCTTGTGTCAGATTAGCTGATTGGTTTAAGCTGAGCTGATTGGAGCTGATTGGTTAAAAACCAAAGCCTCGCCGCGGGTGGCTGTATTACAGGATAAGAACGCATTCCTGGGATAAGGACGCATTCCTGGCATATTTTCTTTTAAAATTGCCGATACCTACGAATGGAGGCCGAAATCGGCCGTAAGGTGGGACACTCTCGGGGTTTTCGGACACGGGCTACAAGATGGCCATCTCAGTTTCAAATCCCATGTTAAAGGTGACCCTTTTCCTTTAACAATTTACAAAATGATCCCCTCTAAATATTTGAAGACCACTGCATCGAAATTATCGCCAAATTAACAAGCTAGAGCCTCGTCAAAAATGCTATGTAAACCGGGTTACTGTTATCAAAGCTGAGCAAATGAATAAGTGAATTTGGAACTTGGAAGATGGAGAGTTCTGAATGTTACCAAATGACGTGAATGTGCATTCAAATTTCACTGCATTTCAATTTGGTAAGATTGGACCCAGTGCCCAATCTCAATCTTACCAATGCTGTAAATTAAATGAAATTGAAATTGAAATGGGATCGGTAATCTAGGCCATAGGCCCTTGGGGCAAGGAACTTGCACCAATGTCAGGTCGGATTGACCCACTCTCAGATTTGAATCAAAATGTCAGTTTCGACAGAATTGAACTCTAATTGCCTTAAAAACCTTGCAGACGCACACCAGTCACAAATTTCGATTCAACTTTTGAGCAACTTTTGAAATTTGAGCGCTCCCGCCTCCCACTCTCGATGCCGGTGGTAGCGCATTTGAAAAAAACTGCGCCATAACCGCCGGCATCAAGAATATCGTAGTTATTCATTTTCCCCCTAGATGTCACGGCCAGAAACGCCTGAATGTATGCTGTGCCGGAGTACCCAGAGCAAAAACGGAAACAACTTGAGCGCAGCTCATGACCGTCTCGTCAGTCGTAAGAGCTACATTGCCTGACCGATTGCCTTGAAGCTTTCAGTGTCTTCTTGATGAGGGTGACACAAAATGTACAAAACTTTTATCTTAGATTTTTGATATCGGTAGCAGAGGCCCACAGGTCAAGTCAGGTCAATTTTACCTCTCCATTAGGTAAAAATCAAAAGTCAATGGAGGAGTAGGTAACCCGCACCCCGTTGGGCTATTGGTGGACCCTACCAACTGTTGGAGCGAGGGGACGTTTCAATCCCCCTCAGATCTCGGAAAGTTACCGACCGACTTTAATACAAACGGCGTTCGATAGCGCCACCAGGGAACTATCTTGTGACCAAGTTTCGTTGACCTAGGCGCAACCGATGACGTCACAGGCCAGGTCAAAAGGTCGCATTTTTTCACTTATCACCGACCCTCTAAGGAACTATGCGTTCAGTGGCGGAACCAGGGGGGGGGGGGCATGGGGCCAACCCCCTTGGGCCTCCCGGGGGCACCATCACGGCGGATTTTTTTTTCATTCATCACGGAGGTCACCGAGACGGAAGCTTCAACCCAGTGAGGTCTCCTAAGGAGACACCATCCAGTAGAAGATCTATCGGAATAGGGTACCGTTTTCGGGGTCTCCCGGAGGCCCATTTCTGTCCATCGCCTCGGGTGGGGCTATTTCCATCCCGAGGTCCGCGGGGGCACACCATCTTGTGTTCTCCGGGAGCACTATCCCGATTTCTCCCTCCGTGGGCACCATCCCAACTAGGTCGGAGGGGCACCATCTCAAGGGTCGGGGGCACCATCGCGAGGTTTGAGGGCAGAGGGGGAACCATCCTGAAGTCTGTCTCCGTTCCAAGTTTCCAGGGGCACCATTCCGAAATCCGAGGTCTGAAGGAGCATTCTCCCCGGGTCTGAGGGGGCACCATCCCGAAAAGTAAGTGGCCGAAATCCGTGGATTTTTTTAGGAGGGGGGGGGGGGCATCAAATGCCAGGGGGCACCACAATACCGTAAGTGCCCCCCCCCCCCCTTGACGAAATCCTGGATCCGCCACTGAATGCGTTACGGTGTTATATATAAGATCGGATAAAATGCATGTTATCGAACATCATCGATCCAGAGTTGGTCGTCTAATACACATGCTGCTTAGGAGGTCACTGATTCCAGGTCAGGTCGCAGAGGTCAGGTCACAAAGGGTCACAATATGGACCCAACTATACTAGGGTCGTGTGATGCATGTTTTATGGCCAATTTTACATTTCAAATTCAATTGTGTTGGTTACACGACCATCAGGGCCGGGTTAGACAACGTTCTGGTGGAGGTCAGGTCAAGGTCAGGTGAAAAGGTCAAATTTCAAAGCTCATATTTTGCAAAAAAGGTGTAAGGCCTCATTACGTCCTACGACTTTCAAAGGCCTCCGTCATCTACTGCAGCTCTGACACGGTGACAAAGTTGCAAAAAAGGATTTGAGGTTGGGTCATTCGAAGTGACCTGGTGACCTGACCTTGAAAGGTAGAACGTTAAAACTTGCACATCAGGTGTAAAATTGATGAGGGAAAAGGCATGCCCAATATCGTGGAGTTAAGCGCCGCGGTTTTCCTCTATTCACGAAAAACCTCAGGGGGGGAGGGGTGATTAACCGCCTTTCCCATTAGTGCGCAAGTTAACGTCATACATTTTTAGCCGTTTTTTCACCATAACTTTGCCAAAAATCGAGTTATCGAGCTCAAGTTTGGCATGGCAGACCAGTAGTTCCACAAGATATAGGCCGTTATTTATGTTTTGAGGGTATTACATCCAAAAACATATCATTTTTGAGTTTTGAAGGTCAAAATCCAAAATTTGACACATCCGCGGTAGCAGTTTTGTAGCCTTGTGTTGAATCTACACGTTTTCTATCGTTTTTTTTTTATTTGAAACATTTTATCTGTCTCCAAAACCGTGGGCGTGACAGTTCTTCCCGCAAAACCTTTTTTGGGTCGAAAATGGCGGCACATGACGTCACTCTGACGTCATTTGCGGCCAACCAATCATATAGGCTTCGGAAAAATATTTGATCACAAGGTGTAAAATTAATGCCCGAAGGCTCCTAAAACTTTCGTGGCGATACCTACTATACTTTGGGAGATATCGACTGAAAAGGACAGGGGGCTGACCCCCCCCCCCTCAGCGAGGCGCGATTTAACCCTCGCCCTGGCAAGTCCAAATCGACCCTCCACCAGTATTTGAAGACTATCTTGAAGCTGAAGCTGCTCAGCTTCAGGATGCAGACTTGGCCTACCGTGGTCCAGAAGTGCAGGCAGCTGGATTTCGCCAAGACCCACAAAAACTGGACCATTCAGGACTGGAGATGCGTCCTTTTCAGTGACAAGGTGCCCTTTGTGGTCTCTAAGCCCCTAACTGCCAGAACGATCGAAATGTGGGCCAACGGCAGCTCTGAGGAGTCCGCTGTCGAGACGGTGAAACGTCTGCTGAAGAATCTCATTTGGAGCATGATGAGCTACAGAGGCGCTCTGAGCTTCACGAGGTGCCTCGGGGACAGACCGTGATATTACTATGTCAACGAGGTGCTGAAGAAGACAGATGCTGACAGCCACAAAGATGCTGAGGGGAAAGGTAAATGGTTCAAAAACCAGACTCAAACTTTTGTCGGACATGTCCAGGGCCATTTTCCAGCAAGAAAGGGCTCCAGCTTATCACGCCAGGAAGACCCAGGACTGGTGCCGAGCGAGGCTCCCAGGCCTCTGGGAGAATGGGACATGGTCTGGAAACAGCTTGGACCTGTCCCCGATCCAAATTATCTGGACGATCGTCAGAAAAGAGCTGAGCAAGCTTCCACGGGCTAGCTCAGAGAAGAGGCTGTTTCAGAAGATATAAGCGGCATGGCGTTCGGTTTCAAAGGAGAGACTCTTGACAACCTGAAACGTGACACGCTAGAGTGCAATAGGCCGTGTATGCAACTGAATGGGGACTATGACAACATATAAGCCGTGAAATAAATTCGAACACTATAAGTTATTGAGGATAGAACAACCGCGCATCAATTTCGGGACACCCTGTACATAAAGAGCTACCTATCAAATGCGCTCCTCCGCGACGCTATAGTTTCCCCCCCCCCGGCCCCCAGAGATGTAAGCCGATTTGTTTGAAAAGTGCCGGAATAGGCGAAATGTATGTAACCTTTGCTGACCTCTGGTGACATGACGTTAGAATTGCCCGTAGGGAGCTAATGATTTTTGACCTTCAGTTTCGATCACCTCGCCTACCGTGTGTCGCTCCGTGGTCCAGCCGGCTGCCAAGTCAGACGGCGTGTTCAACCCTCCAGCCCGGCGAATTCGTAGTAACGAGCACACCGGGGCGGCGAAGATGTGACCTAGGAACGTCGATGACCTTTGCAGATCCCAAATAACCCTAATCATCATTATTAGCTTGTTTACATATGAAATGAAAGCGAATCGCGCTACTGCAAGTAGGCGCACCACAGAAGGTGCAGTGTGACTGGCAGGAGATGAAAATCCTACGCCTCATGAAAGGTCTAATGTTCAACCACGTCCAGCTCCAATACAATCAAACACAAGATAAGCATGTATTGTTACAATATCGACACCTCACGCACTGGGAAGCAGCACATTTGTAGCGGTCCTCTCAATGTCTCTTGCTGCCCGACTCAGTCGCAACGGTTGCATTCCTTCACACGCCGTGCGAGCGACCGTCAATACGTGACACGACAGGCAACAATAGCGCACGGGGAGACGAGCAAGTCCCAGCCGTCATACCTTAGCGCCGGGCTTTCTGTAAACTGTCGCACACACCGCGGCCTAAAGCCACCAAAACATATCACTGAACGGCGGCCAGCCCGCGACAGTAGCCATCCAATGACACCCGCTGGGGTCGAGCACAAAGGGAGACAAACCCTCACGAGATTTCTGTCTATGGTGAGCGCGGTACCTCACCAATGTCCGTTAGACAATGAGAAGCCCTGGATCCAGTTTTGATTACCGATATTCAGATCGTGGAACTCTGGATACACCTCCGGCCGGCCGGTCGCTGCTCATCAGCTGTGAGTACGCATGCATTGCACAGTTTGCTGATCGGGCCCCTTGCATCCGCACCCTTTTCACAATAGTCGGAGCCGCCAACACCTAGTCGGCTCACCAACTGCCGGCGGATACACTACCGCCTATCGCTGGCCTAATGCTACCTGCTCTACTCCAGACAGGCGCAGCCCACACAGCCCCGAACGCGGCCGGCCGCCCGATCGAGTAGGGAACGCGGCAGCGTCCGGGGCTCCGGGGCAGAACCCTGTGTCATCATCACATGTTTGCACTTGGTAAGCGTTGTTGCATTGAAGAGCCGGCGAACGATGCCGCTCCCGTGAGCCTAGAACTGACGTCCGCCGAGTGAACGTGGCAGCACAATGGACCCCTCCCCTTCTCCTGAGGGTTGAAAATCCACATTGGTGCAGACATGGAGGGCCAAAGATCACACCGATTAGAAGGGCGAATCATTGACAGAGCTAACGGTGCCCAATGATTTTATCAGAGTGACGTGCTGGTTTCACAAAATATGCTTTGAAAATGTGAACGTTGACCAGAACGGGACCAAAATCAAGCATTCGTGCAAGCGTCTACACAAAATATCAGTCAGAGGTAGTGTGTATGAGACGGTGGTACTATATCCCGCGCCCCAGTGGCGGTCTCAGCCAACTTCGCCCTAGTGGGGGGGGGGGGGGGCATATGTTACCACCCACCTCTAACTCAAAAACTAAGAGGGATAGAAAGACGCGGTAAAAAGCAGTCGATAGCTCTCAATGCGTACGTTTGAAAGTATTTCGGTCATTTTTCACCTTTGAGCAATATTGGGGTCACCAGAGGTCATCAAAGGTCAAAATTTGCCAATTGTCACTATATTTTTCAGAAAACATGCCGCTATCTCAGGAACTATGGTAGCTAGAAAAACGCATGGAACAGCAAACGATAGCTTTTGAGCTCTTCTTTTGAAAAGGTCATTATCAATATTGACCTCAGGTCAACGGTTTAGCCTCCAGAGGGCAAAAACTCCAAAAATAGCTGTTCTTACGAAAAGTGTTTTTCGACAATAACTTTTGACTACAAAAAGCCACGGCATTTCAATTGCCAGAATCGTGTTCCCCTCGCCGAGACGCGTCGAATGAACTATAATTTGACCTTGAAAGGTCAACTTGAAAATTTGACCTCAGGTCAAGGTCATGACCTGACCGGAAAAGGTCATGTTGCATATCAGTCGATGCGTCTCAACAAGACAAACACAATGAGACCATCCCCAGCGTTCTATCTCTTTCCAATCGCGAGTTATTGGCAAAAAACTGTTTGTAGCTCAAGTGACCTCAGATGACCTGTCTAGAGGCTATCAGCAAAAATGACACGTTGGTCATCACGAGTGGACTAAATCATTGTGATTCTGAAATATTTGGACTGTTCCCATGCGTACACACGGATCTAGAGGCATTTTCATTTTTCTCCATTGCCTTATAATGGTAAGGTCACGCCACTGACCTGACCTTAGGTCACGGATATGAAAAATCCGAGATATACAAATTGTAGGCGCCCATAACATCATGCAATCCACCAAGTTTGAAACCTCTCTGACAAACACTGCAGGCTGGACATGATTGCAAACTTTTTTTTAGGCTTGGTCAGTTAACTTGACCTGGTGACCTGACCTGACATGACCTGGGGTCAAAAATTTCACACATTGTCCAAAATTGATGTACAAAAAGCTACCCCAAGCGGCGCGGCGCTACGCGCCGCGCTTTTTTATTTACACGCGAAAAACGCGACAGGGTGGTAACATATGCCCCCCCCCCACTGGGGCGAAGGATATTCAACAGAAGTTCAACACTACCGGTAGTGTTGCTCCGTGTGCCGCTCCAAGGGGTCAATGGACAATGAGTCATGATTATCTACCATCAATATTTGGCGAGTGACGGAACGGATCTTAGTAACTTTACCTTCCTGTGATCCGTCTACAATTTTCTTGTTTAATTAGCACGAAAGGCAGCCTTACATATTTTCAATAAATTCAAAACGGCGACGAAAATCAAAATAACACATTTTCATTTTACGAATTGACAACATGCGAAGTACAAATAGCAGACCCGTCATGACTATGAATTGAATGTTGAGTTCAATGACCACTTCTGGAAATTATCAAGAACGAAGGAGGGCCGCGCATATGACGGTCTGGATTGACATTCGGTAAATAACACATCGCAGCTTGCCATAGTTGGAAAGAGAGAGAGGGCAAAGCGGGGCACATCTTCCCAATATCTTTAAATGGTGTGCAAAGATAACAGATGTGATAGGTATAAGCGATAGTATAAGAGTGCCCTGAAGTAAACTAGAGTCAACATCCTATGGAAGTCTCACGAGTCTCGACTGACCCACTGACTCGAACGGCGGCGCGCCTCGGCGCCTGTCATGCTACCTGACTACCGTCGTGACCTCTGAGTGACGTTCACCTGAGTTATAGCCAGGATGCGCCTCTAAACCTGTCCAACTATCGTACATCGTCACAGCCCACGTCATCATCCACGGCACAGCGACATCATATGACGTCACCACGTCATGCGATACCACCAAGACATCACATGATGTCTCACACCACAATATTATCACTTACTACTAGGACAATTAGCACCACACTGACGTAACGTAGAGTCACTGATTTCGCGCGGCTGACACACATAACATCACTTTGACATCATGTTATGACGTTTCATGATTTCAAATAAGATTTTCACAGCGTGCCTATGGCATATACCGCGCCTTCTCGACTGACGCAACCCTGGCAACATGCGTTACCCCACATCCAGTGGTTCTGTCACTACCAGCCGCAAACTGACCCATCCCTGCCCCAACAGTCGCATGCCTTGCAATGGCACAATGCACACATACACAAACATACATGCGCACAAACGCAGTGCACAACCAAAATACAATACCACGCCGACGTACATACCTCCATGACTTTCGATGATACAGTGGCAAACTGCCGATAAAATGACTGCACTAGCTTCTGAGCAGTGTTAACGTACGGCCCAATCCACCGCGTTGGGCAGAAATGCCGACAGATCTATATATGAGCCCAAATCCCTTAATGACTGCTGTGGGGCGCCTCCCAGCGGCGACAATTGGCCAACCATGACATATGGAAGAGCAGCGCGGAGCTCGCGGACGTCACCTGGACTTTAAGCTCGCGATGGAACTTCCGTTAGCGTAGAGAATATATCGAGCGCTACGAGTGAGCGCCACTGGCTGTGGCCGGCTGCGGGAACCAGCCGCCAGAGCCGACCGGTGAAGATTATGAACACTGGGTGGCTGACTGACACCCCTATCGATTAACACATGACTCTCTCATCAGTCTATGACGACCCCAACCCCAGTCTTTGTACTTGATAGAACGGCTCTGACTAGACGCACCGGACGGCGCGGTGCGGACCGCTCCGTGACGGTCGCTCACACATCAGTCGTGTCCGCGTGACGGTGACCGGGACGGCCGTGACGGCCGTTATGCGCCGCGTGACGGCCGAACGGGCTGGAGGGCACGGTCCAGCCTCCGCCTCCCGTCGGTGCCGAGCCGTTTACAAGCCTCTCGGACTCGGCGATATCGGCCAGCTCGTGAGAGGTGGCTCGCTGAAACAGCGCCTGCGGCCGGCCGTTCATCAACAGACTGTGCTTGCGACTCGAGTTGAGGTCGACCTCGTGCGTGTTCTGACCGTCGAGTTGGACCACCGACAGCGGAGCGTCCAGACACGGCGAGATGAGCCGAGGGTAGGAGGCGAACCGCTCCACCACCTCCTTGGCCTCCGGCCGCTTCTCGGGAGAGTAGGACCAGCAGGAGAGCAGCAGCTCGGCGCTGGGAACACGACGAGGAATACCGGTCAGACGAGCCCAGCGCCCGACGATATCGGAACACACATAGCGGCAGTTTGCGTAAAGAAATCAGACTTCTCTACAACGTTAACGACTGCATTGACATCGTACACATTTCATTGTCATTCATTGTCATTTTTCATTGTTAATATGGCTCAATGTTATTCAGACAGTGCAATTTCAAAAAAGCAAAATAACGTTACTACATTCTCACTACCCGACATCAGTCTGTGCATCGTACTGCCTCATCTTCCGACCCCATCCGTCCTACACCCCCCTCAGTCCCCTCCCCACCTCTCAGCAGTACTCACAGCTCGCCTTTGACGCCGTGCGGCACGGCCACGTGACTGCCGTGTCGCACATGGTCCACCACCTCTGCGTTCGAGAGTCCCTGGAACGGGATGCTGCCAAACGTAATTATCTCAAAGAGCAGCACGCCGAACGACCACACGTCCGAAGCCGGCGTGAAGAGGCCGTCACCCAGAGACTCTGGAGCCATCCAGCGCACGGGCAGCATACCTGTCGGAGACGGCACCGGGGTCAGAACAGTCAGCAAACAGAGGACAAACTTAGCTTAAACAGAGGCCAAACTGTGGACATATGCGCCACTGAGGTAACTGAATATGCAAGAGGTCATTGATAATCGTTTTCACCTAACATGCAACAGCTGCTATCGTTTTATTGTCGCCTGAAGGCTTTACCATAGCTCCGCTGTAGTGTAGTCAATGTTTCCCTCACTTACCTTTACGATTAAACCGATAGTAGTCATTCTCGCACATGGAGCGCGTCATTCCGAAGTCGGCCAACTTGACTGTGTGCTGGGCGTTGACCAGGCAGTTCCGACACGCGATATCCCTGACGACGGGAAAAAACAATAACAAACAGTGAGCGTTCGACGAACTGGTAAACAGAACAGAGAACCGACCTGAATAAAAGTTGTTAACATATAGACCTTTACTAAATGCAATTGACTCGAGGCATGGAATGGCCAATGTATGCAGCGGATATGCCTCTCGATGTGAAATAAATAAATAGATCATGCCTAAGACAGATATATTTACGTTGGACAACGATTATTATCGGTAATAGTTCGCGATTCATCTTCCATGACCCGGAGTATCCAGCCGCGAAGTTCGCCCATCCGTGCTATGCGGTACAGCATACCACTTCAGGCAAGTCATACTAGTGACATCTAGCGTCAGATAAACAAGTACATCTGAATGTGATATGGGCACAGCGCAACTGCAGAAGTTAACGATCTATCTAGCTACCGGCAATTCGCAACGCATTCGGAAACCGAATTGATAGTCACCTCCCGCATTGATGGTTCCATCCCTCCCGGGGGCCCTGAATGGTAGGTTTAGCTAGCCGTGAAGCCTCCAAGAGGTTCTGCTCTTACCTGTGCACGTATTTGCGCTCAGCCAAGTAAGCGAGCGCACAGGCCACATCTCGTGCCATAGATGTCAACTTTTTGCTGGATACTTCATTATTTTCGTCCATAAACTGTTTGTCGATGACATGACCACGTCGGGCGAGCAGGAAATTCTTCAGGTCACCTGAAAAGAAACACATATGGGGAACATCACAAGGCAGAAAAATGATCGTTGTGGACAAAATTCAAAGCATCTATCCCTTACCTATCGGCTTCAAATGTCCCCGGAAACCGGACCTCCTCTGACGTCACGCCAAACCCCGTGACGTCACCGCACAAACAGACGGGCCACCGATGCGTCTCGGAGCGATCCGCCGGATCAGGCGGTCCGCGGGCGCAGCGCGCCGCCCCATTTGGACGAGCTTAGCCCGTGCCAGCCGGCGCTAAGGCGCTTAATCGAAGCCCTCAGCCCTGTCCGCCCCCACCCCGCCCCCGTACCTAATCGTTCGTGATTGCCGACCGGAGCACTGTGCGACGCAGACAACACGACGCGACTGAGCCTTCATCCTCCAAATCCCCTAGGACATCGCAGAACCTCCACCGATACTTAAAAACTTTAACATTGACGGCAAAGGTCAGTGAATAACAACGTTATTGCTGCCCATTGTTTCCCGCTAAACAGTACGTACGGAGAACAGAAAGACGCACTGACAATTAGATACTTATTTACAAGTGATGACAACAAGCTGTTCTCGTGAAAAAAAAAACTGTAAAATAATCGTATGAGTGTCCCTTCAGCATCCGAGGCGGCAGCTTACCGTACAGCATGTACTCCATCACCGTCAGGATCGGCTCCGAGCGTGTACACACGCCCAGCAGCTGCACGATGTTCTTGTGGTTGAACTGCTTCATCATCTCTGCCTCGCTGAGGAAGTTCAGCTTCTCCTCCAGTGTACAGTTATGCTTCAGCGTCTTGACGGCCACCGAACGCTGTGGGACTTAAATAGTCAACGGTAGGTAGATCCGAGCATGGCAAGTCGTGTCTGGTTAACTGAGTTATAAAAAAAAAATATAAACCCTCGCCCGCACATGCCACTTTCCTATCCTAGAACGCACATGGGGGGGGGGGGGGGGGATTGCCACCCTCGCGCCATTTCGTTCCTGTTGGAGATAGAGCTTCGCGGTAAAGACCAAAAAGATTCTTTGGGAAGAGACGAATCCAATGATACACAGTTTTACCTTCTCGGGTCAGTCATTGACCTTCCAGGTCAGGTCAAACTAAAAAATGTTGCTGTTTTGGGTCACCGTTGGATATCAAGTGCGCTGCTTAGCATATACCGATGACGATGCTGTTTTCTGGTGCCAAGCCAGCTAGAACCTCTTTGTCACACTACCCGACCAGATTTTTGCTGCTGAGGTCATTTCAGGTCAAGTTAGGTCAAGGTCAATTATATGTGTTTGTATGTCTGTGACTCTGTGTATACTGATGTGTGCACCGATTGTTTTTGTGTCCATATTACATGAAACCATAATCTGAGAAGCTTTTACCAAAAATGCAGTCAAAAAACTTCACAAAAAGTAAATTCAGCTTGCCTAAAACGCAATTACCTTAGATGACCTAGGTTGACCTTGACCCTGACCTTGACACCTGTACATCGTCGAACAACATGTTCCATGATAGGTGGGAGGTAAGACTGGCAAAAAAGGCCGAAATCAAGGTGTCAAAAGCTCACAAGACCCACGCAAGATATTGGATATTTGTCATTTGGGTCATGACATGACCTGAAGAACAAGGTCATATCTCCGAAAGCAAAAACCACACAAACTTCAAAATTTTCAGTGGACATCAAAAAAGGATAGATAAACAGCTATACGAAAACTCAGCCTTCCAGCTCTAAAAATGTTGAGTGTAGAGCAGAAAACTACCTGGGGGGGGGGGGGGGGTGGCAACTGGCAACCACGCCCCCATGTGCGGGCGAGGGTTAAATGCAATATCACTGCGCAGCATTACTGTAATTACATACCGAGGCAGAAAAGAGCGATTGACGTTTGATATATGCTATTTCCCTTCAGCATCCGGTCAATTTACTCTGGTCAATATCCTCATTATTATAATCTTCATATACAGCTCACTCGGAAAGCACCGAAGATTTCCTGCTCTGCTCACCAGTTCCATCTCGACCTCCTGGCCGCCACGTTTTTTGTCCGGGCCGCGGTAGGACCTGTCCTTGGGCAGGGTGGCCTCTCCGCCGTAGACCGTGCCGAACGCACCCTTTCCCAGTTGGCGGTTCATCACCACGTTATCCCGACTGATCTCCCATCCGTCCAGTCTCAACTCCATCTTGTTGGTCAGTCCCATCTCCCTGAGACGAAGCATCTTCTTGTCGTACCTGGGAAACCAGATAGGCCACGCTGAGTTGGATAGTTGGATAGTTGGACAGTGGAAGAGCGATGGAGAACGGCGATACAATCGGTAGATACCAGTGAAAAGATACGAAGGATTACCTGCTGCTTTGGGAACCTCTTTCAATAGTTATCAAATAAAATTGGTATACCGTTAATTCACATACTTAGAGCAACCCATAAATGACAGTGCAGTAGCGACTAAATGCGTGTTATCAAAAAATAATCCACGAGCCTTAAAAACTATCAATTCATCAAGCTGCATATATCGGCGTTCAACGGCACACACCTGCGTTTATAGAAGAGAACACAGCAGATAAGCATCAACAGCACGAACAGCAGCACAATGCTATTGACGATGATCATGGCGTTCTCGCAGGTGGTGCCGAGGAGGTCAGCGAGCGGCTGGAGATCGCACGGGTCTGAGGAGCCGTCCACGGGGCGGCTGCCGTCCGACGTCAGCCACCGGATCTTGCGCTCGTCCAGCCGCAGTCTGAGATAAGAGAGGGGGGGGGGTACTCCTCAGAGCTAGGCAGAGGGCATGCAGCTGTGCAACACGTGAATACGCGTGTTACAAAATGCGAACTGTTCGCGTTACAAGCAGTGCTATTCTGTATGTTCACCTCGTGCCTCTTCAACTGTGACGTAAACAGCCATATTTAGCCGTGGTTCATGAGATAGGTTTTAACGAGACTGACCACAGTTTCCTGTCGTGAATCCATTTTAGGCCGTGATTTTTAGATGCTCGGCCGGGACAAAGAGTCGTTTTCCGTTCCACTCACAGCACTGGTTATCTCGCCCCAGATCCAGGCTAAATTGGATCGAGGGGTAGGAGTAGACCGGATGTCCCGATATTGAGGCCATCCTACACAGCGCGGGGGCAGGCAGCGGAATACGGGAGCGGCGTCCCACGCTCATCTGGACTGTCACCTACACACTGTCACCACCAAGGATGACACCATATGTGACTGAAAGATAAATGTCACTGCAGTTCCGTTCACCAGTTCGTCCGCCGTCCACCGACTAACGTCTACGACTCTACACTCTACACCGTCCGTCGTCCGCAGTCTACTATCCGCCGTCCACTGTCCAGTGTCCAGTGTCTACCTTTCCCGTCTACCGTCCACCGTCCATTGTTTACAAATGGCCGTCCATCATGCAATGAGAACAACATAAAATGTCCAGTTTCCATTGTCTACCGTTCATCGCTCATCGTTTAATGTCAATCATTAACCAGTATAGCGCCTTTTGGGGCGACTAACGGAGCGAGCGAGGGGGTGAGTCTTGCACGTGCGAAATTTCGAGGGGGTACCTCCAACTGACTTGTGCACGGCACCCTACTGACCGGTTTCTAGCAATGTGCCAAATTTGAGCACAATCGGCCCAGCCGTTCTCGAGATCTGGGAGCGGCACCCTGCACGTGCGCACGTGCAAAATGGGTCCCAACTGACTTGTGCACGGCACCCTACTAACTGGTCCCTAACTGTGTACCAAATTTGAGCGCCATCGGTCCAGCCGTTCTCGAGATCTGGAAACGACCCCTGCACGTGCGCACGTGCAGCAGCACCCCAACTCTGGCACATGGATATGCAGTGCCTAGTGGGTGCCTACCTACATGCCAACTTTCAGCGCAATCGGCCAAGTAGTTACCGAGATATTGCAACAATTACAAAAGTGACACCTCTTCGTTTTGCACGTGGCACGTGCATAAGGGGTCACCCACATGCATCGGGAATAGTCCAATACTTGGTAGAAGGAATGAAGCTACCCTACAAAAATTACCGCATGTAAATCGGTCAAGTGGTTGCTGAGATATAAGCCTCGCAAAAGCGTCCGCACGGCCGGCCGGCCGGCCGGCCGGCCGGCCGGCCGGCCGCTCATACTCAGAAATTTCCGTTATTCTACGTAAGACTCCGCTCGCTTCGCTCGCTCCGTAATCATCTATCGTCCACCGTCGTCCACCGTCCACTGCCCACCATCAACCGTCCACAGCCCACCATCATTCGTCCACCGCCCACTGCCGGCCGCCACGCAACATCACATATCATCAGTTATGCATGAGACACCCGAAAACGGTTCTGCCGAGTCGTGTAAATGCTAATGGCGCCGGGCCGCGGTGGTCGGGTGAAATCGCTCGCCTCTTTGTGTGGCACCCGCCATGGGGAGAGCGAGAGAGGGACGGACTTAAGGCAGAGTAAGAGTGAGGGAGGAACGATGATGAAATATCAGAGTGGTCCAGAAAAACAGTTCGAGAAATGTTCCAATTTTGAATATTTGAGTGGAAGAGCTCCTAACGGTGACGATTTGGATGGGGTTAATGGAATGAAAGCTTTAAGAAACTTTGCGAAACTCTGCGTGCCTCAGAATTCCCCCATTCAGACCAGCGAGGTCGTCATTTTGTGCCAGTGACGTCACTCACATGCCTCCGTCACCACTGTCGACGTCCGGCTCGAAGTGTCCGACGACGTGGTACTCTCCGCGCAGCCACTGCTTCACCAGGATGATGGAGATGCGGGACGGTCCCACGAACTGGATGTTGCCCGACACGCCGTTGAAGTTGGTCGCCTTCAGAATCTCGACAAAACGTCTGGAGGAACATACCCCGGGCTGTCAGGAAACGTATGCATAACAGTTAGATTTCCATGTATGTATTCACAAATGCATACGGGACAATTGTATACCTTTTCAAAGTCGCTGACCGTTAGAAACACAAATTAACTTAGTAACATTTACATTTTAGAATTAACCCTCGCCCGCACATGCCATTTTCCCATCCTAGAACGCACATGGGGGGGGGGGGGTGGTTGCCACCCCCCGCGCCATTTCGTTCCTGTTGGAGATAGAGCTTAGCGGTAAAGACCAAAAAGATTCTTTGGGAAGAGACGAATCCAATGATACCCAGTTTTACCTTCTCAGGTCAGTCATTGACCTTCCAGGTCAGGTCAAACTAAAAAATGTTGCTATTTTGGGTCAACGTTGGATATCAAGTGCGCTGCTTACCATATACCAATGACGATGCTGTTTTCTGGTGCCAAGCCAGCTAGAACCTCTTTGTCACACTACCCGACCAGATTTTTGCTGCTGAGGTCATGTCAGGTCAAGTTAGGTCAAGGTTAATAATATGTGTTTGTATGTCTGTGTGTGTCTGTGTGTATACTTATGTGTGCACCGATTGTTTTTGTGTCCATATTACATGAAATCATGATCTGAGAAGCTTTTAACAAAAATGTAGTAAAAAAACTTGACAAAAAGTAATTTCCGCTTAACTAAAACGTAATTATCTTAGATGACCTAGGTTGACCTTGACCTTGACATCTGTACATCGTCGAACAACATGTTCCATGATAGTTGGGAGGTAAGACTGGCAAAAAAGGCCGAAATCAAGGTGTCAAAAGCTCACAAGGCCCATAGCCAGCGCAAGATGTTGAGAATTGGCCATTTGGGTCATGACATGACCTGAAAAACAAGGTCATATCTCCGAAACAAAAAATCACAGAAACTTGAAATTTTCAGTGGACATCAAGAAAGGATAGAGGAGCAGCTATACGAAAAATCAGCCTTATAGCTCTAAAAATGTTGAGTGCAGAGCAGAAAGACTACCTGGGGGGTGGCAACCACCCCCCCCCCCCCATGTGCGGGCGAGGGTTAAAGAAAAATGAACAATTAAAGGATTCAAAGCAATAACTAAGCCTCAGCTAAAAGCTACACCCCGGACGCTCCAGGCGCTGAGAACTCACGCTGTAGTGGGCCCCGTGTGGAAGTTCTGAAAACTGGAAGGTTTCTCCGACAGCAGCTTGTCCAGAGCCAGGGCGTACGTCCAGACGGCGTCGTAGGCGTACCCGGCGTAGTCAGACTCTTCTACGGCGTACTCCTGACGGAGGGAATTTCATTGTATTGTATTGTACTATATTGTATTGAATATCACGTCGTATTTCTTGCAGTCATTCTCAGAGAGTAGTGTATTGTAAAAGACAAAATGTATTGTATGTACAAAATGTACAAAATGTCATTGTATTGTATTGTAAAAGACAAAACCAAATTACTGCAGCAGCCAATCCAATAATAGCACATGCGGCGTTCATAATGCAGAGACATACGTATGTACTACGGTGGCCATTCTAATCAAAATGTGTGACGTCACTACCCTGTGACGTCACTGTCCACCCTGGGCTCACCTCCTCACACTGCACACTGTAGTTGTGTCGCCACTGTTTGACCGTGATGCCCTCCTGCATAATCTCCGTGTCGTTGGCAAAGTAGGCGTGAGAAAGAGTCAGGTGACCCTCCAGTGCCTGAGGGTAGAGGTCAAAAGTCAGAGAGGAGACAGTCTAGACGGCCAAAGCAGGTGCTCGGCTTCAAACTGCCCATCGGCTAAAAAATGACGGCAGCGATCGTGACACTAGGTAGTGATGACGCGTGAGATATATGAGTGCATGTTGATAAGAAACATACATTGATTCGTCATAACATCTCAGCTGCACGACATATTGTAAAGATCGCTGTAAAATCATGCATTGTAAACTGACCTGCATGAGTTCTTCTGGCTTGCACTTGCTGTGATCCCCATCGGTGCTATCAGTGCTATTTACCAGATACCACTCTGACGAGAACCACTCTGGCAAAAACCACACGTAACCCTGAAAACCGAGGCAAAATGATAGGTCTCAGGTATCCCAATAGGTGCAATCAACATGGCATCCAAGACATTTATTGCAACCATTCGTGTTACTTTGCTTCGCGAGAAACTATCATGTGCGCAGAGACGCACCAGCATAAGTATCGTGATAGGTCTTCTTTCTACATAACTACTTCACAGTATCCCATTGCGGGAGACGAGGCGGAACATTCCATCTGCCTCGCATTAGTCTCGTACTGTCAAACTCGTCTGGAAGCCCACCAGATACGCTGGTGGTGGCTAGAGGCTAGACCAGTGAGCTCGGGACCAGCGAGAACGACACCTGATTCGCGCTACTGGGTACTGCACAGGTACGAGCAACTGGTCATTAGTCGCTAGTGAGAGAGCTGTGTGTATCGGTTTAGGACATGGTATCTTATACGAGGCATGTTGAACGGCTCAGGCTGTGGCATTAGCTCCCTGCTGATACCCACCTGCCTGGCGGTCATGTTCTTCAGGTAGGCCTCGCACATGATGGCGCGCGCAGCTACTTCGTAAGCCTCGGCGATAATGATCCGGGCGTTCTTCTCACGGAGGTCTGTCAGGTACTGAGGACAGAAAGGCAGGGATTGCGGTGAGAAGGCCTGTCATGTATTGCGGGCAGGTCTATCAGGTACTGAGGACAGAAAGCCACGGATTGCGGTGAGATGGTCAGTCATGTATTGCGGGCAGGTCTGTCAGATACTGAGGACAGAACGTCAGGGATTGCGGTGAGAAGGCTAGTCGTGTACGTGTTGTGAGCAGGTCAATCAGGTATTGCGATGAAAAGGTTCGTTAGTTACCGTGCGATGTGAATTTATTGGCCAGAACAAAAGGTCAGTCATGTATTTGCTGCGGTAAAGACTGTAATGTCAGGTACTGCTATGAACGGAGGGAAATAAAAGAAGCAATGTGTGGAGAGTAAACGCCTAATAGTATGTGTAAATCCGGTGAACTAGAATATGAAATACCGAAAGCATTTCATCTAGAGGGCAAAAATAAGGCTGTTAAACAAGAGTCATCACACGGAGGTACGTGGGAAAGATACATATTACCAAATACGGAATGGAAAGGCTACGCAATAATCAAATTACCTACATTCTAATTTAACGGACCCATTGAGCGGCACATGCAAGCCAATTGGTTACAAATACACCAAGGAGGTCGACCTCTGTACCACGGCAGAGAGAGAGACACGAGGCACGGCGGACCGTAGCCAGGAGACGGTCGGCCGTGCATTCAGTCCCGTAATCAGCCCAAGTGGCACTTCTGGTGCATGGTGCCAGCACGACTGATTGTATCAGACCAGTTCCGAGACTGCGACAGCGCAGAATAAATTCGATCAGCGGAAACGGGCCGCGGCAGAAACGGCGCATCGGTGACGGTGCGTCACATCCGGCCGGTGGTCCCTGAGAGGGGGGGGGGGGGGGGGGAGAGCCACTGCCCACCATCGGAGGCTCAGAGGAGAGGCGTTAGCGAAGCCTAAGGTAAAGGGAGGGAGCCCCACTGTCTAGTCTGCGGCTTACGTAATAAAAAGGACGACAGAAATGCTTTTGATTCTTCAACACAGAAGTTGGAAGCGAAAACAATCGTAAATATCGGCAAGCTTCTCTAGCACTCAGTTTGATTCAACCCAGAGTTCAATCGCGGATATGGAGCAAGTCCATCGAATCCAGCCGCATCCCACACGGTGTCGGCGCGACATCCGCCGACACCTTATCTCGAGTAAAAAACCAGAACCGAAAGTTGATGGCCCGTTGGTCCAACATGCAGCGTGGTACGACCGACTGAACCAACATTTCGCGACCATCGGCTCCACTGTGGCGGACGGGCTGGCGGCGTCGGACACCGGGGAGAGGCTCCACCCGCGGCCGCCACGAGTCTGCAGCGGAGCGTTCGCCCCGCGGCCGGCGACCCTGCCCGAGCTCTCCGCGGCCCTGCAGCGCATGGGGTCATCCAAAGCGAGTGGAGCTGACGGTGTAACCATCAGCATGCTCCGAATGACGTTCAGTGTTGTCGGGCCACACATCTTGAATGTGATCAACAGCTCCATCGTGCGTTGCGAGCTACCGCCATCATGGCAGACCGCCGTCGTTGTTCCACTGCACAAGGGTGGTGACGTGCATGAACCGAACAATTATCGACCCATCTCGATATTGTCTGTGATGGCGAAGCTTTGTGAACGTGTTGTGTGCTCACAGCTCATGGAGTATCTCATTAGCCATTGTATTTTGTGCCCCGAACAATATGGTTTCCGCCCCGGTCTCTCCACCGAGGCGGCCCTGCTCGATACTGTCACTTACGTCACGAACAATATCGATGGTGGACGCGTGACGTCACTCGTCACAGCTGACACCTCAAAGGCCTTTGACAGTGTCGAGCATGGCCGTCTCCTGGAGAAGCTGGGGTGGTATGGGATCGACCAGCGCTGGTTCCGTGCCTGGCTTGGCGACCGGACTCAGTCGGTCAGGGGCGGATCAAGCGAGCTGCCCGTGACGCACGGAGTCGTACAGGGGTCTATTTTGGGCCCGATTCTTTACCTGCTCTACACGAACGATTTGCCACAGCACGTGCCCCACGGTAAAACAGTGATGTATGCGGATGACGCACAGTTCCTAGATTCAGACACTCCACAAAATCTCTCAGACTTAAAGAAACGCGTAGAAAGCAACCTTTCGGTCACACTGGACTGGTTCACCCAAAACAGGCTAAAAATAAATCCCTCAAAAACAGAGATGATGACTCTCAAATCTCGGCGTTTGAACACTGACCAAGACTTCCACATCCGTTTTGGAAACACCGACATCTCTCCTGTTCAACATGTCAAAATTCTGGGCGTCACCGTGGACACTGCGCTGACCTGGGACAAGCACATATCGAGTATCCTACGGCGGTGCTATGGCGTGCTGATCGGACTGGCCCGGATACGACGTCGCATGCCGCGCGAAACAAGGCGGCTGCTTGTAGAGTCACTTGTGTTCCCTCTTATCAGGTACTGTGTGTCTGTGTGGGGGAGCAGCACGGTCACTGAGCAGAGACGCGTGCAGAGATGCATCAACTTCGGTGTCCGTATAGTCATGGGCTTGAGCCGGCGCGATCGAGTAACTTCGCCACTCAGGGAGCTGGGCTGGCTCAAAGTGGATGAAATGATACGAGAACGCGATCTGCACGTCATGTATAACCTGCTGCACAGCGATAGTGCACCCGACCCGATCCGCTGTCACGTCGCGCGCCGTGCCGATGTCTCCAGCCGCGGCACGAGAGCAGCCAGTGACGGACAGCTGCAAACACCGCGACTGCGAACAGAGTTTGCGAGACGATCATTTGTGTGTCGCGCGACTCGAGCGTGGAACGGCCTGCCTGTGCAAGTGAGATGCGCGCCCAGTTACCTTGCATTTAAGAAAAGAATGCGGAAAGAGATCACAAGACATAACACTCGAGTTTAGCATCTTATGGCCTAGCTGCAATACCGTCAGTGTCATTATTTTTCGTGTTTTATGTACTGTTTTAAATTTGAGGGATGTGTACTTGGATATTTTTTATGTACTTTAATCTTGAGCTTGACGTGGAAAACTGAAAACCCATGTACTTATGGATGTTTCCGAAATATATGAGTATGAGTATGAGTATAATACTGGATGCCCTTTATTTCCGGCGCCGCGGCTGTGGCCGTTGGGCGATACAGCCGGCGGCACAGTGTCCCACGTCGCCATCGCCTGTTGCGCATCGGCAGCCTACCCTATAATCGGCGGTCAATGGCGACAGCCGGCTACGACGCAGTAGCGACGAGACGACGCAGTTCGAACGGCCGTTAGCTAATTATAAGCATCCCTGATCCGTGCTTCTGGGAAGTGCCCAATAGTCTATGGGATTTACATTGCTCCTTTTCAGCCGATAACTATGGAAAATGAAAATGTGGTGCTGATTAAGCGCATGGACAACCACCATGCCCCAGAGATTCGTATCCTTATATACTTTCTTCGAAGATGGGACATGCCTAACAGTTTTGAGTGTAGTTGAGTAAATGCAGTGTTCGGAAAACTGATTCGTCTCCACCACCACATAAAATAATCGTTCAGCTGCTTTTGATATTGCTTACAGAGCACAAATAAGAATAAGTCAGAAGGCAAGTAAATACCGCCTTTGACAGGACATTTTATGCCGTCTTAACCAATCAGCCAAACAGTTTGGACAAATCTCTTCATATTTCATTTCTTCAATTGATTAGATCTAAAAGACTGTGATGAGGGGAAGCCCCGTCTAAGACCCCGTCTAACTAGTCAACAGAAGAAAATACAGTGGCTCAACGTAAAACGGAAAAAGAATAGACAGGCGAGTCGAGCAATTTTCTCACCGGCGCCATTGTTTTGGTGTCTCGGGGGAACTTCCTGTTGACGATGAAGGAGATCTTGGACTCCTGCAGCATGTCGTGCATCAGACTGATGTACTCTGAGTATTTCTGACCGTCCTCGGTCAGCGCTGCGATCCGGTGCCACTTCATCTGCCGGAGCAGCTGCTTGTAGACGAACCTGTGGATGGCAGCGGTGCACACTGCAGGTTAGATCGCGGCACAGATGCGGCGGAACACACGGTATATCCCCGGACAAATATCGGCACACCATGGGACACACGCAAACATTTCCAACCAAGCTGAAATACGTGTCATACCCACGAACAAACTTCTGCACGTGCCGCGACACACATCACATTCACGGTCAAATCTGGATATATAGGTGTCAGAAGAACATACGCCTCATCTCCGGTGTAAAGTATCGGGATAAGGCAAACAGAAACCCATGGTTACAATAATCCCGAGTCATAAATGTCTTAAAGTTTCCACATAGCGTATCTAACGGCGCTTGTCGGCCAGGAAACCTTTCCTCAACGCCACAGACTTTACCTACCAGAGCAGGTTGCGGTTACCTTTCTGATCAGGACAGCACGACATTGAAATACCTCCTCCAGCGTCACCATTCACCGTGAATACACAACCTTCAATTCTGTTACGTCACGGCACTCAGATAGCTGGTATAACGTCGAGCTATTTCGCTGAATCTCGTACAATTTTGACAGTCTCCTGCACCCAGCCAGCCCTGCAGAGCCTGACAGCTAGCGAGGCCCAGCCAGCTACCAGCGGGCGGTCTCAGCAGATGGGTTTACAGAGCGTGGGAGCGGGTAGACAGAGGGATAGAGTGACATCAGCATGCAGCACCGGGTCTGGAAGGTTCGGGAACAAATAGCGTCGTACCCGGCCGCCGATGATTGGAAGCAGGCCGCTATTGACGAGCGAAGGGGAAAAACATTGTGCGTGCAGAGATCGTGGTATGCGATCTCTATGTTTCATTTAAAGGCGCTACGCTTCCTTTTCCCACAATACAAAGGTTTTTAGTGTTTATTTTGTTTGAAATTTTTGTTTTAGTATGATACCTATGAAAGCGCTTTATGCTATGACCTAGCGCAAAAAAGCCATTAGTCAATAAGGTTAGAAACAGAAAATTTGTTTTTGAACATGCTACCTACCTCGATAGTCTTTAAGTCTGACTTGAGCTGTCCATTGGTGATAACTGTTGCCATCAGGCTACCCTTCCTTTCACTCCGCCACCACGTGCCGCCCGTCTCACCTGAACTGTTTGTTTTCGCCGATAGTGCGGAAGAAGTAGGGGTACTGGCTGCGGTTAGAGAAGAGCACGCCCTCGGCGCTGTATGAGATCACCACCACGTTATAGTGACGCGACACGCCCACTATGGGCTCCACCGTGTCAGAGCAGGCGGGACCTGTCGGGACGGAGAGAGGGGCGGCTGTTAGCACTAGGTAGTGGATGTTCGGCTGGTCCGGGCAGTCTGTTGGGCTGCGAAACTACCGAAACATGGTTGGGTGGGGTAACGAACGAGAACTAAGCAGGGTGATTGAGGTAATGTAAAGGGGAAATCTGAGCATCGTACGAATCATGGAACAAGTCACGAATCACGGCTGGATGGTAGATGAAGGGGAATTGAACGGCATCACTGCTATATATGTACCAATTAAATGGATCCCTTATGCATTGGCGATTATGAATTATTAATTTAGCATCGGCCTAAAATACACCTGCGTTGACCCCCAAAACATCGACCAAGACTTATTGGCTGAGGCAACATTTCTGCCTACTCCTCAGTTGCTTTTCCACTTCCTCTTCGCCACTCACCAAGGATGCCGGCCATCTGATTGTGGTCCGGCATGCGCACGTAGTTGATGAAGCTCTTCATGACCATGTCGGTGCTGCACTGGCCGTCCTCGGACTTCAGCGAGAGGTCGTAGTCGCGCAGAACCGTGACGTTCTTGTTCACAGCGCGCACTGCCATCATGGCCGCTGTGAAAACAGGGGCCAGGGGGACATGGCGTTCAACGTCAATCGTGGCACATATGACTGGATAGTGGACTGCACACCTGTTTTGTGGATTAGTTTTTAACTGGACGTGGGTAAGCAAAATCTTAAGTTCATACATTTTTTACCATCAGATTCATAGTGCAAACGACGCAATGAAAAATTGTTTGAACATCACATAACACATACTTGAGCGTAGACGATTCAAGCATCAAATAGGTAAAACGACTACAATTAATGCATCCATGGCTGCCGAATGCAGCACCATCCAACACATCAGCCCCGTATGGCACGTAGGACATATGTACGGGGTGTGACACCTACCCGGTATGACCCCCTTGGCCTTGTAGTTCATGCCGTTGATGGGGAATATGCCTCCGATGAGTATTTTCGGCCGTCGTGTGATCCGCCATCCCCTCCAGAGGTCAGTGTTTTTAGTGAGCCAGTTGCAGGCTGCATCCCGCAGCTGCGAGTGGTTACTGCCAGTGACTGCGTGCTGCCAGTGGTGCAGCATCGCCGACTGGCTCAGCTTCAACATGTCGATGTACTCCTCCTGCGTCAAGTGGAACTCGTGCAGCGCCTACCGGGGGAGGGGAGGGGGGGGGGCGGTGTAAGGGATATTGCGGAGATGATGGATAGCCATACATGTCTCTTGGTTGTTTCTTCGTAAAGCGAGGGTCATGACTGCATTATGTTTGTTTTGTTTTGTTTGTTTTGTTGGGTAAGGCCCTTCCGGTCTGACAAGACCATTGCAGAGCCAGAACGATGATAGGAATTAGGGGGAGACATTGGTCTGGGCAGGCACCCTAGTGAGTCACCGGAACTGAGCCTGTCCCGGAGGACAGGCCGACCCCCCCCCCCCCCAGATACTCACTGTACCCGGCTACGGGTGTGCTCCCTTGGGAGCAACGGTGCCGCTCCAAGGGAGCAGCCCGCAAGAGATAAAGGCGCCTGTCCAGCCCGCAGTGGGAGTTGCGGCGTGGAGGAGAAGGATTTCAGTATCCTGAGGATGGAAACGACGGAACGGAGACTGGGTTATGACACTTCGATACCATACATATCCGTCAAATGTCAAGCTCATTGCGTATAGTTTGCATACATTTTCGTTTATCTGCCTCTTTGCTGGCATGAGATTCTGAGATCTTTAAAAAAAACAAAAACACAAGTAGCACATTCATAAGTTTCTCTCTTCCTCTTTCTTTACTTTCCTATCTCTCTATACCTCCTTCCTCCTCATCGTACCTTCTCCGCCATGGTAGCGCCATCTCTGAGTCGGATCCATGCCATTTTTCTCAGGAATCGACTGCCGAAGGCGTTTTCAGCTGGGAATGCCACCTCCACATAGTTGGCGTGTAGCGTCAGTAAACTCGGTGAGTAGTGCACGAACAGAACCGGCCTGAGGGGAGCACATTTCGTCAGTTCACGCACACACGCACACGCACACGCACACTGATGGGTCAGGTGGTACACAACTGGTGTTGAAGGTCAAGGCCGAACAGGTGCCGCCCCATCTGTGTAGGTACAGTCTTGGAGTGGAAGTTTTATCGGCTGTACGAGCGCAGTTATATGACGTTATCCAAACGGTTTAGATCAGTGAAATATGTGAATCGTTAGTTTAATATGTAATCGAAAATCCGTTTCATTGCCTCCAATTTATGATAAATGCCAGCACTGCCAGAGAGCAGCCAGATGTGTAGGCATTTGACGGAACTCAGTATAAGCAGCGATATACGTCATACGTCATTCATTTCATCCCGGGTAGATGATAATAAATGTACCAAAGTATAAGTAACAGTAGTGGCGCCATCAATGATAAAGATCATCTTAGATACAAAGTTCTACTCACTAAGCTAAACAGTGCAAGCGACCAACCATAAACGTTGTAAAACCCGCCTTAGCTGATCGAAGATCTAGGATCTTAGATCTGATCTATCAAGACATCTTTGCCTGTGTGACCCTGCCACCTGACCTGCCCTGACCTGTGACCTTTGTGCCACACCTTGTTCGTGAATTCCTCACCTTTCAGCAGCTGTTCGGCGGCTGACCACACTGGCCAAATGGCGACCCACCCAGAACACACGCACGTGGAGCCGGAACACGGTGATCTGTTCAATGATGTGGCCCACCTCGCCTGTGCGCATTCACAGCCAAAATGCGTCAGACGGATGTGTGGGAGTCAGCACGCACCAGACATAGCATGGCGGGTTTCGGCAATCAGCTTTAGGCTCTGGTAATGACAAACGCCAGTCAATATAACCATTGCAGTGAAACTTGATCAAAAATATGATGTTGCAAATGCCGCTCTTGCACCGTTTAAACACATGCCAAAGTCACCAGCAATAAAACGTTAACCGCTGTAATAGCGCAATGATACAAATAAAATTGCGGAATTAATAAACATCGTGACCAACGGAGCAATATCAAGTTCAGCATATTCTTTTGGGCTCCCAGTCATGGGACTGAAGCATCGTGAACAAACTTACCCGAGTTGGACGCCAGAAGAACGGCGCAGTGAACGCCTCGGCACCACGGAGGGATGAACATGCCGTCTTCGCACACAGGATGCTCACAGTTATACCTGGGGCGGAGACGACATGTGGTGAGAACGTGACGGGGAGAGAGAGAGAGAGAGAGAGAGAGAGAGAGAGAGAGAGAGAGAGAGAGAGAGAGAGAGAGAGAGAGAGAGAGGGAAGGAGGGAGAGAGAGGGAGAGAGAGAGCGAGAGAGATAGATAGATAGAGAGAGAGCGAGAGAGAGAGAGAGAGAGGGAGAGGGAGAGGTAGAGAGAGAGAGAGAGAGAGAGAGAGAGAGAGAGAGAGAGAGAGAGAGAGAGAGAGAGAGAGAGAGGGAGAGAGAGAGAGGAGGGAGAGAGAAAGAGAGAGAGAGAGAGAGAGAGAGAGAGAGAGAGAGAGAGAGAGAGAGAGAGAGAGAGAGAGAGAGAGAGAGAGGGGGGAGAGAGAGATTTGAATGAAACGCATGTACCGCTTCACAAAAAAATGTCGGAGCCAGTTAGCGCACTGCTGCACAATTTAAGACAATGCCATTTAAACGAGCTCCATTCTCAGAAACTGCCAGACGCACTATCAGACATCACCATTACACCCATTGAACAGATGAAGCTGAGCATTGTTGGCACAAGTGAATACCAAGAATGAAGCCATGGCAGGAATGTAACCTTTGTTGTACGGGATACAACAAAGGCGCAGTCTGCAGGGATTCACAGATTACGGAGCAATGTTATGTTCATTGACTGATGCTGTATGCGCGACGCAGGTATAGGCCGAGTGTAATAACCCCACCCATCACGGGAACGGTATAACGAAGAGCGCAAGGGCCCACTGATCTGACTTCGATTTCGAAACAGAATGGTAGGAAGAAACTCATATGACGCAACTTATCATACGGCTACACACCAAACCATAAAACATATTCGCTGACGGCATGTATCGATTTCGTCGTGCAAAGCCTACGCACTATATTCTAGTCCATCCCAGTGTGCATACCCTCAAACAATTATCAGTTGTACATGCTTGAGCTCAATTAACCACAATATTGCAATGACAGGTATCGACAGAATTCGCGCCAGCCCTAACCCACCTTCCCGTCTCGGGGTCTACGAGGTTCTGTCGCAGCTCGGCCACCTCTGCGGTGGTGTAGTTGAACGTCTTCACAGCGTCCGGCCTCAGGAAGGCCCGCCAGTGGTCGAGGACCTCGTCACTAGAGTTGGCTACCAATTCCTGGAAGAACCAGCCGATCCTGCGGCAGGCCAGTGTGTCAGTTGGAAAGGAGAGTAGAGCAGAGGAGAGGAGAGGGAAGGGAGGCTACCAACCCTTGGAGGGACCAGCCGACCCTGTGGCCCACCGGCAGAGTAGGGCCTCAGTTGGAGAGGAGAAGGGTTAGATGGGGAATCCATTAAAGGAAAAGGGCCACCTTTAACATGGGGATTGAAACTGAGATAGCCATCTTGTAGCCCGTGTCCGAAAACCTACATGTTTACCTCCTTACGGCCGATTTCGGCCTCCATTCGTAGTTATCGGCAATTTTAAAAGAAAATACGCCAGGAATGCGTCCTTATCCCAGGAATGCGTTCTTATCCGACAATACAGCCACCCGCGGCGAGGCTTTGGTTTTTTACCAATCAGCTCCAGCCAGCTCAGCTTTAACCAATCAGCTTATCTGACACAATCCGACGAGTCTGTCTTCTGAACGCTGATTGGCTTGAGTGTGACGTCATATCTATGCTAGCATACAGTAGGTGCCGTAGAGAGTATCAACATAGTACCAATATGTTAAATAGTTTTAAATACTTTTTCGCGAATTGTGCACTTCTGGCACCAGTTTTGAAAAGAAAATGAAAAATAATAATGTCAAAATGAAAAACAACGATATCTTCATATTTCACGAAGGTGGCCCTTTTCCTTTAAGGAAGGGAGACCGACCACTTTTCCCAAATCACCAAGTAAGCGACACCCGGAACTGAAGGATTTACAGTAGGTATAAAAACATTCGTCTGAATGAACTGACTAGTAACTTTTATGTGTGTACTCGTATACAAAATATTATTCCTATCAAATGTGCTAAGGCCTAAGGCAAATCACATGTCCATTGTGCATGTGACGTTTGATAAGCTACCGTGCCACCAGCCACATTCAATAAAATCCACCGAAGCTCTATTTGGACAAGCTCAGAGGGTTATATCATCACGCCGTGGTACTAGCGTGTAGCCAGAATTCTCGAGCTGATAAATCCCCGGGAGAACTTCAAACAACGTCTCAGTCTACACAACACGACCAATAAGGCTATCAAAGTCGAGAAGAATGGCATATTATCATAAGCATGGTCCATTGAAGTCAGTATTACTTCATCGATTACATCACAGCCCAGTCCATTTGTGTCCCTGTTCGAACTTCGAACCGTTCAAGCTGCCCACCCCGCCAATCACACGTCTGCTGCAACAAGCAATCTTAGCACTGTCTGCCATCTCGTCTTGTGACATGACCTATAAGTTATAACGCAACTTGTCACATAAACATGCCGTAACCCGCGACTAATCCGTGATGTGACCTGACCTGTGAGCCGTGACGTGACCTGACGGCGACTGACCTGGTGACGGCGCCCAGCGGGCCGGCGTACATGACGTTATACATCAGAGTAATATCCTGTTCGTGTTCGTAGCCGGGTAGCGTCCACACCTCGAGGTTGATGGTGGCCTCGGGTTCGATCACGGCTTCTTCTCCGTCTTGTTCGTGCAGGTACAGAGGACCCAGATCCACGCACCTGCCGTACGGGGGGGGGGGGGGGCATGAGAGGAGTTGCAGGCGTGTGACAGATGTGTGAGATGGGATATAACGAGGGGCATACTCCGTAATGGGAACACAACAATGGTGTGCCAAAGGTCAAAGGTGTGATACGGACACTGGGCAGCACAGAGAAATAGGAGTGATGTAACACAGGTAAAGGGCACATGTAAAGTGCATTGGAACTTATGCTTGTCGCAGAGACGATACAATAACAGCTGACTCATTTGTGGCAGGATGGTGGACCGCCTCACGGGCAAGTTTCCATGTTGCTGTGACGTTTCTTTAACTCTAAGTTAGCAATATTCCTATTACAAAAAGTCAAGCTAGCCAAACAAGTCAAGCTACCAACCTCAATTAGGTATACGGACACTTCGAATTATGTCTGACGGTACGACACCACAGCAGATCAGGCCGCAGCGCACATACTGACCTGGGACAGTCGGAGAGTGTGCGGATATAGGTGGTCATGTTGTACGTGTCTCGCACGTTCACCAGCTCGACCCGCTCGTAGCCGAGCGCCTCCTCCAGGAACAGTTTGAATATCCAGGCGGTGAGCTGCGACTCGGGCCGGTCGGAGACCTGCAGTTTCATGGCGATCTCGCGCTCCTCCCAGTGCATGTGACGCGCAGGAGGAACTGCCGGCAGACGAGAGAAAGATGGCTAAGATGGCTAAGATGGTTGGGAACATGGCTAGGTGAGTCCATTGTCTATCGTGTGAAAGGGGCGGGGGCTTTATTGACAAGACGTAAATGGTATCGATATAAATCTATGGATGTTCGCTTATGTATTTCGGACGGGTATCGGTTGCCTGCATTATTCGTTCCGCACGATCTATGCGCCATATCACCATTCACCCTCATATCCTGGCAATACATACTGTTTTGGTTGGGTTATCAGCCATTCACTGAGTCCAGGCTGCGACGCATTCGCGGAATGAAGCACGCTCTTTTCTGCAGCGCCAGCTAAGCAAATGTGAGCGTCAATGCGAGGTGATTGCATAGGATCAATGTAGATCACATCACTCATCGATGTGGTTATGCATTTTGTATGCCCATGGCATTTCATCAGGATTCGAACGATATGCCCTGCGATTCACAATAAATTAATTATCGAGTGTTTCTTTCAAACATCAAACATATAACTAATCGATCCAAGAAACATGTCAGCTGAGCTCACGTTACGCACGCAGGCGAGAAGTAAGTGGTTTTGAACTATTTGCAGGTTGGCACTAAGTTGAATAGCGGCATGAAAAATACGCAGCTGTGGATCTACATTCACCTTCAGTGTGCTTAAAGGTTCAAAATGCTCCGTTAGGAGGAAAAATTCTGAGTCTTACGGCGACCTATATTCATGCATTAGGTCATAGCCGAAACTAATGCCGTCCAAGCCAACAGTCACTTACATGAGCATAAATGACCTTGTAATAACATTAGGCATGACAAGCAGCTATATTCCACGCAATACGGGCGATCTCCGGCTCACGTACACATATATCACTGTCACGGATATATATCAGTCACCCCTCGGTCGCCGAGCCGGACGGTTCGCTCCGCGCGGGTCCGGTACCTGTCAGCCGTCAGTGAGGCCAGCCTATGGCCGAGTGACCGGCTCCGTTACCGCCGGGCGGCGGCGGCCCTTTGTTCGAGAACAGTGCAGTGAAAAGTGCAGTTTGTGAAAAAGAGTCATGCGATGGTGCCATGGTACACCCATGCTGCTTGGCTCGTGAGCTGAGTGATAAACACTTGCGACGGTCCGTTGATCTGTGTCGCTATGCTCTCAGACAGTGACGAATTCAACACTGATTGTGCCGCGTCAGACGTTGAGTGCATCGAGAGACGAAACGACAAACCCTCAATCAGACAAGCTTCTGTGCCTGAAATGATGAAGCGAGTCGCAGCTAACAAGCGCCGTGCACCCAGTCGCGGCTCCCAGTCGCCGCGGGACTCGACCTCGCCCGGGGCTAAGCGGCCGGCCGCGGAGGGTGTGGAGCTCAGCGAGAGGGCACTGGCTACAATCCAGACTATGATTGACGGTGCGGTCGCTAAAGTCGCTTCTTTGTACGAGCCGCAAATACAACACTTGCAGATGCGACTGGAACAAGTAGAGGGAGAACTGATGGATCGCGACGTCGAGATCCGTCGCCTCAGGGAGCAGCTAGAAGCCCGCGACAGCGCCTTCGAACATCTAACCCAGCGGGTTGAAAGCATGGACGTTAATCGACGACTGTCGTCCCTGATCCTTACGTGCGATGATTTTCGGCGCCGCGACGACCATGAGGACATCGAAGAACTTGTGGTCGAAGTTATCAGAAAACGGCTGCCGAGCATCAAACTGGTCACGGCGGATATTCAAGTCGCACATCGACTGTCGGCGAAAAATAAAGTGATTGTCAAGTTCCTGAAACGTCGCTTGCGAGATGACATTTATGAGAGCCGCTTTTCGCTGTTCGGCCGCGGGGGCTCGGCGCCTGGTGCACGCCGTGACAGTCTGGCCCCCCTCTACATTACGGAGAGCCTCACGCCGACCAGAACCGCTCTGTACCAGGAGCTCCTTCGTGCCAGGCGGCCGGAGAACGGCCAGCTGGTCGCCTCAGTTTTCAGCCGCCGCGGAGTTGTCTGGTGCCGCAGGGAGAGGGGCGGCGGTAACATCAGCGTCCCCGACGAGCAGCACCTGCGGCGCATCCTCGGAGGGGCTCGATTCCCGCCCCCTCCGCCCCCCGATTCGGGGCTCTCTCTATCGCCTGGATAAAAATAGGCCCCGCCCATCCCAATCAGCTGCTGCATGACGAGTTGATGACGACAACCACTACTTACCAGCAACCAATCTAGGGATAGCGTACGTGACAGTAATGGTGCAGCGGTTGCAAAATATTACATTGTTATTCAAACGGTTTTTGCTTTTAGGGCCTTGTTAGATGAGGATGAGGTTAGATTAGATGAGGTGTTGATGAAGGCAGGTATTTTTTTTAAATATTTTTTTGACAATTTTTTGCCCTTGTTTTACTTAAGCTGAACCCGGGACCACCTGAAGTCTAAACCTTATTTTATATAACATGTCAATGCTGATGCTGTCTTGAAATGTGAAATTTAGACAATGGTTATAGGAATAATGAATAGCAATTTCACCAACAACATTTTAATCTCTAGGAAGTGCAATTAAAATTAAAATCACTGTCTGCCACACTGCTCCATCCTGGTCATGCAACCAACGTTCATGGGTGGTGTTTCACGGCAGAGCACGCACTGCAGTGCTCAGCACTGCAGTGCGCTGCGTGTGTCAGAGCATTGGGTTTCCATGGCAGTGTCAACAAACTTCACTGTGACGCTAAGCTATGACAGCATCCCAGAACGCTAGCACGCTGCGGTACCAGCACCAGCAGCATGCTAGCAGTATTTGAACTCAAACCTCTGTTCTTGGTACGGTTTTTCAGAACCTCTCACTCTGTTCCAAACGCGATTGATCATAAACTAAGAGATCACATGCAACGTCATTTGAGTGATGCTATGGTATGCCATAGCTACCAGTGCACACAGTGTCTGGATGGTGAAACAGGGCCATTATTAATCACATTTGCTTTGCTTTGTTTCAGCAGAAACCTGTCTGCACATGGGAGGAGCTCAACAAAAGCCCATCAAGTTCATGCATGGCAGTGGATCTCAACAGGAGAAAACCAGAAAGAACATGGATGCTTGTAGATTGCAGTTGTACACTGCTGTTATCACCTGATGTGCGTGGCTGGCATTGCTCCTGGCAAGAACCACCTGCAAGTGATGAGAATGAGATGGTGCCTCAGTCGTTGAGTGTGCTGCAGTGTGAGAGGCGCCCTGATCTCTACTTTGTGATAGGTTTCCATTGGAGGTTCAACTGAGAAGTGAGAACTGACTGTGACCATGCTTGAGCATGCCAGTGGAGCTTTACATGCTTAGGGCAGCTTTTGAACAGATGCTGACCATGGCATGTCCCATCCAGTTATCACGTGCACAGAATGGTGGGGGGAGGGCAACTCTGGGCTCTTGAGTCAGCCCTACTGCACAGGGGGTACAGATGGCCGCTTACGTTTGGTGTGTCCTGCACTGCATTATCAAGCCCAGTCTGCGCCACAGGCAATGGGTCGGGCTGCACTATATTAAAGGCAGACTATCTTGCAAAGGAGGCTGGCATCCTCTCCCATAATGACACACCAATTGGCAATCATCGCTGCGATGATCACGAGGGTGTCCGCTTATCTAACATGGTGAGGTGGAGAGCCAGTTCAAGCTGGCCTGAGGGATGGTTTTACTTCATCTGAGGCCCCCTTTCCCCGCCTGCCAGGTCCGGTCAAACGACCGCTTCACAGTGAACGACTTGCAGTGGATGCCGTCCCACAGCGCAACGAGCTCGCCGACCAGAGGCGGCGGCCAAGAGGCGGCCGCGCTCCCCCAGTCGACGGTCCCGGTGGACGTCGGCGACGCCCACCGCGCGACCATCAGATCGGCTCGCGACAGCGCCGTCGCCGACTGACCGCATGACTGGTATCTGTTCTTGATGTGGGACCGACTGCCACCGCCGGTCGCGGAAGGGCATCGCTCATCGGCCATCGACGTCCGCCAGCTTCGCGTGGGTCACTGTTCGGGCTGCCACCAATACACCGAATCGGATGGAACCCTGTCGGCGAATGCCGGCGGTGCCCCGACATCGACTGCGCGGCGGCCAGTGCATCGCGTGCCGGGAGGAGGCTGGCACCCCCGATCGGTCATTGGTCACAAACCGTGTCCCAGCTCATGACTGCATCCAGCGCAGCTCTGTGAGATGTTCTGCAGCTGCTGCAGTCTGCCGCGTGTGTTAGTGAAAGAAGAATGAACATGAGAAAACCTCAAAACTTTATGCCTATTCGCAATTGACCAGTATTGGAATAAGTTTGGATTTTGAGAATTTGTGTCCCTGTGCTTGTGCCTGTGTGGAAAGGCATGCTTTACGGTGTACCATCTCAATGTCAAATCCCGGCTGCGCTGTGCGGATTTGTGCGGCTGCTGACAGGCCACCTGGGTGCCAACGTATGTGCGAATCCGCGAATACGTTGTGTTTCGTCAGTCAGTATCGTTCTGAAAATATTGACTGCAATAGGCTATATAGCGTATGACGGTTCAGCCCAGCAGTAATAACTGACCATTGATTGGGCGAATTTTGTGTGGTGGTTCGCTAATACATAACCTAAAGAGTGTTTTGCCGGAATCGTTTAGTAGCAGAACTGACCGGAATATAAGTAGAATGCAATGGTTTGAATCGTTAATTTGTTGAAACGATTGTTCTCTGAGACCACTGTGTAACTTTTGACCTGAGAATCACCAATTATAACGACAATGGGGAAGCAGTAGGCTGTACTGTAGAGTGTAGGCAACACTATATAGTTGGCACACATACGGAAGCACACGACTTACGCAGTGGACATCTGCATCATGCATGTTAAGGTTTACTGGGAAGAGTGAGAAATTAGTCAGAATATAACTGACTAAGGAAAATAGGCGATATTTCCTATTGAGCTGGGGCGGAGAGGGGGAGGGGACGTGTGGTCAGCTATGCCAATAATTCATTCTCTTTATGCAGCTGTGTAAAAGGGCGTCCGTTTTTGGGTGAGACCTTCCCCATCGGCCATTTC